CTCAGACGGATGTATGAACGAAGAACAGAAGTCGAAGAGAAGGAAGTCAAACGTGTACAAAGAGTTATTTCTAAACAAAGTTTTGTCGTAGCATGTGTGGTTGGTCTGGCGTATATTGGGATTTTTATTGGGTTACCACGGGGGAATCTTTTTTGATTACTACACGAGTTAAGTTCTTTATTTCTTGTTCCTAGGGAACCCCCCCTTTTTCGTCTTCATCTTTTTTTTTTTTATACACAATTTTCCCTCTTCTATTCATTGCACATAGTTTCCACTTGAAAGTTTGTTTTAATTGCGAGGTACGCACGATAAAAAGCATATAATGGCTTTCTTGTATGCGGAAAGAAACAAGAACTGTCTAATGATTTCTGAATCGATCGAAAGGAGTTGTTTTCATTATTATCTTTTACACCATTTTTTTGGCCCAAGGCATTTCAATTTACTACATTTTTCTTTTGATGTACTTAGTCATTTGTCACGAAGGGCATTTTGGGATGTACTGTATATGAGTTCAGGCGTTGCATTGCGCTGGCGGAGATCTACAAATATGATACCTATGGTTTCTCAACAATCCGAGATAGAGAAAGTCTGCTTGTCTGCTGTTCCCACTTATTTTTGCCTCTGCAATATGTGTTATGTTAGCCAGTCTGTCTGGTGGTCCTCTTGCCCGCCTACCTTGTGTGACAGAAGATCCTGTCCTAATTCGCACCGTTATTTGGGGGTATACGTGCTCATCAATCCATTAATCAGGATGTTGATTACACAAAAAAAACGAGTTTGTGCAACCGTAGATCTCGTATTGCAATTGCAAATGGGGTCTCTGAGTAACGCTACTATCACGTTGAATCCCACGGCAACAAGGTAGACACTCTTTTGCCACACCTTTAATGTAGATTACCGGGAGAAGCATTCTAGAAAGAGTTCACCGCTCCACAATGCAGCACCTCTCTCGTAAAAGCAGACTGCAGTATGCTTCACACACACGTCCCATTCAGGCTGACAGGAAAGAAAGAAAATTCTATCACTTCTCCACAATGTTTCTTTCCCCAGCCATCGAATACAATTAACTTTTCTATTGAACCAAAAGTCTGTTCCCGCCAATCCATCTTGGCTGGTTAGAGATGCCACACTTAACCGCTACCACGTGTGCCAGAAACTCGAAGCCAAAGACAGAAAGAAAAGGCGAATGGGAAAACCCCTCAGCAGCCAAGCCTGGGGTATTCTTTGTCGTGCCATAACGAAAAAACCCATCATGTTGGTTGCGTGAGCCATGGTGCATGGGAAACTGCAAGGCATAGGCTCGAGCTCGAGCTCATGTGCAGAAGCCTTTTTTTTTTTTTTTTTTTTTTTTTTCCTGGTGTGGGCGTTTCGCACGTAGTTCGTATTTTGCTTGACGTCTCCACAGTTCCGGCTGCTAAATTTGCGGATAAATTATAAAATTCCACCATGGCGTTTCTTACTGGGTTAGCTAATAGGCTATATTGCATCGCGTGATAAGACAAAAGAACCCTACAAAACGTATGGATATTGCAGGAAAACGGCGACGTGGAGTTTCTTCGTTCCGAAGGACTTGGGGTCCGAGAGATAATCTTGGAGCTCATGAATATAAGTTTACTCCTGCAGTAGTAGGCTGATCGACCCAGGGAATCTGTTGTTAAAATTGTCGATTTCCATGCAAGATTCAGATTCCACAATCCTCTTTTGCGTTGATCACTTCTTTCCGGGTAACTGGAAGCTTGCATTTTCTCCTTCTCTCTGATGGTTAATCGGGCCTGTCAAATTTTGGATCAAAGGATTGATACTATTAATTTAGAGATTATACAAGGTCTGGGGGCTTCCTAGCAATATCTATATATACCGAATTCTGCTCGCACATACTATACTAGCTATTTTCCACGTGACGACTGTATAGATGTTGACAGCTGACAGCTAAAAAGAAGGGATATCCTCGTATGAATACGCAGTTTTAAATGGTACACCCCTTGGAATATGCGCCGTGAGGCTAGTTTGTTGATGGCTGAGTGCACGACTGAAGGGACCAGGGCTGACTGCATAGTATTTGTTGTGAGTAGGCCTAGGGTCTACATCTATATACTGTTAGCCAGATAATCCGCCAGCATATTAAACTGGTATTAATATATACATTTATTACATTCTATAAGTACAAGGATGTACCGGCCATCTATGGGCCAATTCATTATGAGATGGTGATGAGCCAGCTTCGGTACTCGTTCTCGTATATGTATACGTCGAAATATTTTATGATTGGCTAACGTCATTCGAGGTGGGATGTGCAAATGTCGTATGTGTGTCTGTCTGGATTTCTAAGATTTAGTCAGGAAGGATGGCAGCAAGGCCGGTTAGGTTGGTCGACAGGTTAGCTATAGGACATTGCAGTAAAACCAGACCTTAGTTTGCATGATCTTAGGCTCAATTCCATGATACTTGACCTATAGTTCATCTGAAAAAAAATAATATTAATTAATTAATTTGACTATCCTAGCTACGATAGACTGTATATAACTTTCGGTGATTAATTAAGGGAATAGACAATGACGAGACAATCAAAGCTGAGGCTATTTTATAGAATGCGCCTAACTTGATTATATAAATGAAGTACTATAAAGGTATTTGTTGAATTTGGCTCCTTGTTTTGTATACGAAGAGCTTATTTCCAGGGTGCCAGCTCTCGCTGTCATGCGCTGTGAATATCCCCTACACCCGGTGCTTAAAGGCGATTGATTTTGCCAACCTGGTACTACGGTAAATTTCGCATGGTTTCGAATCTTTGTCGAAGGCCCGGAGCCACATATTTTGTATAACCTTGATTTTCCATTCACCACCCCCCTTCCGTCATCAACATTGATGCCCAAAGATTCGTGCAACATTTCGAAATATATCAAGAGTGTAAACTTCGTGTATGCGGATAAGAAGCTAACTATACACGAGCCACATGTACCAACAAATTTCAAGTGCTCGTGTTGTATGTATGCTTTAGTAATATGTTTCGATCCCCGAAGGGCCATGATACACTCTGTGACCAAGCTGTGCAAGAAATGCGTCTTGGACCGATGAAATTTCGTTACGATCGGGTTCCACATCTGGTGGATCAAAATCCGAGGTTGGAGAGATCGTATTTGCTGGGTGATTTGGATCCGTTGCAAGGCCGAAAAAACCAGAAGTGCCGATTCGACGGAAGCCTTGTGAGCGCCAGAAGGCAATGACTCCGTCTCGCATACGAATATGGATTTCGCGCCGCTCTGATTCTGTTTTCCCCCTAGATACTTTCTCGAGCTCGAAGGTGAGGCATGATGGCCTGGCGAGTGAAAAGGTCGGATTTCGACCATCCCTGCGCGACTTGTCGATAAGATCCATTACAATCCTTTTTCCGACCCCCTTTCTGCGCCAACCCGCATCAATGTAGATTTCTTCAATCACGAAAAAGCTTCCGTGATCTAATTCTTTCCCCCAAACTCCTGTCCCTTTATAGGCGGCGTGTTTGATGAACTCTCGTCTGAGACGGGCACGGCGATCGAATAAGTCGAAAGCAACATCGCAAAGCTCCTGGCATGCCTCATCCATGTAAGCTCGGAAAGAACGTCGAATCTTATCTCTCCGCACATACCGGCCCAAGCCGTATCCAATAGATTCGCCCTCGAAGGAAACCTTTACATGGATGTCCTCCAACCAGCCGCTGGAACCGCCGCTGGAACCATCGCTTGAGTCACTGGCATCGTCGCAGGAACCATGGTTTGAGTATATCTTGAAAGATAGCTTGGACTTCTCAGCCCCAAACTCATATACCCTCTGCTCGACTTTAGGTTCCGGACCTGGGTCGTTGTGTGAGAAGTTACTATCATGTTCGTCTTCATCTTCATCGCCATTATGATCTTCATCTTCGACTTCGACTTCGTCGTGATTGGTGTTATCGCCATCTTCGGCATCTAGTTTGTTTGCTTCGTTTTGCGTTCTGCTTTTTTTAGTAGGCGGCATGATATCACCTATTCCGATTAGTAATGTTTCTTTTACGCAGTTACAGACGCGTCCTTGGAAGGGGTTCAAAAGACTTTGGAGAGCTTACTTGAGTTGGCCGTGGCACTTCGCTTGTGATTACTCTTAACAGCTGGTATGTTTGACTCAGCTTCATGATTCTGCTGATTGCCCGTGCTATTCATGGCGAATGGAGATGTTTTTAGGTGAAAGTACTAAAGATATCAATCAAGTTTTGTGATGTTGGGAGGAAGACGAATCATGTCCCAAAACGCTTATGGAGCCAAGACAATATTAGGAACGCGAAGTTTTTGAGGCTTGATATCCCCAGAGGCAACTAGCTTGATATGAAAGAGGAACAGTCGAATCGAAGAGAGGAAAAGAGCTACTACACAAAACCTTCAGAAGTTTGGTACTTCTTGGTTACGTGTAGATGCCTTGATATATATTTGCAGGCGCTTTCTTTATAAGGCGCGCTCTATGCCTTTATAGCTCCATAATATGGGCTTTGACTCGCAGGACTAGTCTCGTAACTAGACTTTTTGTGTTGCAGACTGAGTTTGAAGCTGTTACGAAGTTTTGTATTGTTGATACAACACAGATTTGACGATAACAAACTTACCGAATTTAGAAATCCAACAAGCTATAAAGTTTTGGCATTGGCATTAGACGACGCAGTGAAAGTTTCTGGCTTATAAGTTGGAAAACCATAGAATTGAATGAGTCTGACCTAGCTCAGAGGCAAGATGTAAAAACCTGCAATTGAGAATCTGGATTCGACGGGGCTGAGCCAAAGTGTGTTTGATTTTCGAGATCGTATCATATCACCACGAAAACTCCAAAGCTCCTGTTGAGGTTCCAAAACACAAGAATACACCTACAGCTAATTACAGGAGTGTCGGCACAGATGACCTGCCTCAAACTATCACCACATTTCCTGGGAAGGAATATCTGTAGCACCAAAAAATCTATCTCAGCAGCATCAAGCCAAAAAAAGTTCAAAAAATGAATTCCGACACCGGGAATCGAACCCGGGGCTGTTCGGTCCAAGTCGGATCAAGATCCTAATGAGAGCGAACGATGTTAACCACTACACCATATCGGAGGTCGGTTTTCATGTTTTGATATCAGACTCCGCAGCGATTGCATATATATACGGTCTAAGCTTTTGGTACCTTCGCCGTGACTGTTTCACAAATCAATGTTATGCTCAAAGACTAAGAGCTCACAAGCAAGGCGCTGCAAGCTGCTAAGATGCTGCTGACGTATTGGATATCCGAGACTATAACATGTCTGTAAGATTCATTCTGTTATTGGTTCGACTGCTCAATACTTTAGTATTACGGCATTTCTAACCGATGCAACCTGTGGACAGTTTTTTGAAGCCTTAAACTTCACGGCTCGAATGGACAATCTTTCGTTTTCCCTCAAACCTTTCTCCACAACGCAAGGGAATTATGTCTCGCTCCAACAAACCATACGAGAGCCCTGCATGCGCGGAGCGGGCTTTAAATACTTGGTATGTAAGTATAAGCCAAGATCGAAAAAATTGATAATAGCATTAATACCCGTGAGGTTATTTTACGTATTACCATTCGCAAGGATTACCGCATAGTGTACCAAAAAAACTGCAAAATATGAATGGGGTAGTCTAGAAGCAGGATGGGCTGGTGGTCCGCTGAATGGGGTAACTTTTCCTTCTTGGTTAGAAACCTGAGCTTGTCGGATGCAAGTGGACCCTTGGCATCTACGTTGCAAACGCATCGACAGACGAGTTTTGTGTTATACTTCCCTTTGTTACACTAATTGTGGCCTGAGATGCCGTTACTGCTAATTATAAGGATTCGTATAGTATAGAAGTTGAATCCATAAAAAAAGAAAACTAGTAAAAACCCATGATTTTAGTCCTTTAATATCTTTATTTTGTTTTATTTTATGTTATATAAAGCTGGTTTTTCCTGCTACTCTCGCTGGAAATCCTTTTTTCCTTTCTGTATCGCAGTAGACTAGCACATTCGTTGAATTGTCGTTCCTTCTAGATCTCTCACCCCTCTCTCTTCTTTAGTTCACACTCTTTTTATATCATATACACTCCTTTTTAAATTTGTAAACCCAATCTTTCAAAATGCAACTCCTCTCCGTCGCCGTTGTCCTTGCCGCTGCCGGGTACGTTTAGCCAACCATTTGAAATTTAATATATATCCTGAAAAAAATAAATTATATATACTAACACCCCCCAATAGTGGCGCTCTGGCCGCCCCAGCTCCAGCAGTCACAGCTCCAGCAATTATCGAGAGAGACCTCGTAGCTCGTGCAACTCCCTGCTTTAAAGACTACACGACTACTCTCCGAGGCAGCTTCTGGACTGTCTTCGGAATCAAACAAGAACAGGTCACCACCAAGTATGAAAAGACGGAGTTCAGCACCGTCACCATCAAAGATCTCGACTGCTCAAACAGCTGTATGCCACGTGTTACAGCTGAGTCTCGGAAATTCCATCTCTTTAATGGTCCTGCAGACGTATGTTTTACCCTTCTATATATATTGTTACTTATGTGAGAAAGTTGATGGAGTAATTTATGCTAATGTGTGGGTATCTGTATTAGCTGGTAACTTCATATAAGCCCACTAAGACTGTCGAGGCTAAGGTCACGACGGTACCTCTGTACGTATGCGGAAAAAACAAGGGTCTGCTATCAAAGCCCGCCAAGATCGTCATGGCGCAACCAAAGGGCGACGGAAAACCACCAAAGAAGGGGGACGAGAAGAAGCCTGAAGAGAAGAAGCCTGAAGAGAAGAAGGCCGAGGAGAAGAAGGAAGAGAAGAAGGAAGAGAAGAAGGCTGAAAAGCGATCAGAGCATGAGTCTGAGGACAACGAGTAAACGAACTCTCTCACAAAGATTAGCCAGCATACAACCTGCAAAGCCAAAGAAGCCCCTCTCACAAGAAGAGTCAACAAAGACTACCTCACGAGACCATGACCAAACGTTTACGAACACACAAGCACGAACAATTAACACTTATGACCGACGAAGTTTATGACAACAGGGAAATGGAGTTTATTCGGAATCTTACCCGAATGGCGTTTTTACATAAATGATTTTCCTCCAGCCTTTTTTTTTTTTATTCTTTCCATATCCTTCATGAACATATGTATATGTACATTTTTGACGAAAATGAATTTACACGAATGAACGGAATATATCAAGAATTCATAAGTAAACTTGGGTTAAAAAATACAACATGAAATAGATCGCGAGTTTGCGTTGTAGTGGGGAAGGCCAACCCGAAGTGTATTGTGCATCCGAATTCGCGAAGCCGAAGGGAAAGCGTAATATATCGGGTTAAGATTAGCCACCCGAGTACTCAAGTATTATCCATTTGGGCAATTGACATCTTGATAGGTTGCGTAAGTTAACTGATTCGGTTTCAATGACTTTTTGGTACTATGATACCTCATAGAGCCGCCTGCTTAGTATATCATATGACGCGTCATAATCTTAAACTGGTATGGTAAGGCGCAGTCAATGCTTTAACAATTACTGGTTATCTGTTCATCCGGTTCAACTTATCTTGAGGCTTAGTCTTGTGTTCTTGAGGCTATGCCCAAAGATCAAATCGGTCAACGACTTCAAAATGAATTTTTATAGACTTCAGTCTCGCAATTAATGCCTGAGAAAACAGCTTCACAAAAGTATACAAAATCAACGAAAGAGGTAAACATTAAACGCCTAACAAAAAAAGAACCAAGGTCGCTCCCATAAACTACCTATCAATCGTGCCCTCCCCAATCTACATCCCTTGATTCAACTCCGTCTCCAACCCCGGCTGTCGTCCCTTCATTCCAAACTTACCCTTAATCTTTTGAGCTCCTACCATCAACTCATCCTTCAAAAAGACCATGTTTCTAGCAGGTTTCCATTGCATAATCCCTCTATGCTTCCTGAACTTCTGTCTTTTCTCCGCCATCTTCCTCTCCTTTCTAGCCCTCTTAGCATCAGGATCAACTCCCTTTTCACCCTCGCCTTTACTTCCAGAATCACCGCTGCTATTGCTGTTGTCCTCGTCATCATCACTGGAAAGATCATGTCTCTCATCCACATCCTCAGGATCGTCTCCTGCAATTCTTCGAACGTTCTCATCAGATACAAATTCGTCTTGATCGTCTACAACGCTCATGACCTCTGCTTTCCAATCTTCTTCGTTTAAGATGATGTTGTCCCCACTAGGGCGTTCCGTCTGTGAAGGTTCATGACCACGAAGTCTTGGTCTCGGGAGTAACTTATCTTTCTCCCCGTTTTCAGTCGAAACCTCAGATCCTTCATCATCGCTAGGTAAATCTTCTGTTGCCCCGGTCGCAATGAGTTTTTTAATTGTTGCGCCCGTCTCCCGCTTAACAATTCTCTTCCTAGAGCCTTCTGCTAAACAAGCTTCAAACGCATCGAATGTCTCACGATCATCGTTACTGTCCATGTAATTTCTGTGAGATTCATCAAGGCCGTCTTTAAATCTCAGTGTGACGTTAAATGTAGCGATTTGCTCCGCATCAATATTCTCACGGGAATTAACGTCCTTAATATTGTTCTGAACCAATGCGTTTGTATTCTTCGTTTTCCAGACCGGCAAGGATAGCTTTGTAGTTTGGTTGTCGATTATCTCGTTAAGCCAGTAGATACAGTATGCGACTGGCTTTCGAGACATACGAGAGTAAAATTCTATTTTCAGGGAGGAACCATAGCGTTGGCGGACCGGGATACGGATGGTTAGGCCATTTAGGTTCCAGGCGACACCGTTATCATTATTTGCTAGGCGTCTTGGGACCTTTTGTTGATTGCAGTCGGAGCTTAAGACGATGCGAGAATTTAGGAGTTCTTGTGCGCCAGGGCCGGTGGCGGTCATGAGGTCTTCCATGATTTCGATGGAACCGACGTCCCAACCTAAGAGGTTACGGGGGACTTGTAGGTTTACGGAACGGAAGAGGATGGTTAGTGAGACCATGCCGTAACCGATTCCTCCATCGAGAGCGTAGAGACGGGTTACAGTGCTGCTTGTCTGTAGAGCTTCTGACAATTTGATGGAACAGACACCAAGAAGTGGGTCGTGTTCTCTATGGCGCGAATCTCTTGCCGCTACCGTGATAACGGCGTTTCTCCAGTCTCGAACGTATCGCTCGACAGCAGCTGAGAACATTGGGTTTGATGAAGAGACTTTAGTTCGAGTCTTGAATGCGAGAACGTCGTTGACCATCACGGTGCAGTATGCGTTAGGCAAGTGGCTGCCTTCTTCATCTTTGTTTTCGCCAACCACCTGAGCCGGGCTATATGGCCTTATCTTGCCAAATGTACCCTTGCTTCGCTCGAATTCGAGGTGTCTGATTTCGTGGATGGTAACTGAGACTACACCTGTTGGGTAATTTGGGTCTGGTGGGACGCTGAGGGCTAGTTTATCGTCTTCAGCGACAGGGACGGGAGTCTGTTCGTGGAATTCTTGTTTGTGACGGAGTTCACGTGGGACTCTAACGTCCTCGCCGGTTGTTTTCATCGACTTTTTGAAGTCGGTGCGGCGGAAGAATCCGACTTCCCAGTTCAATTTTCCAGGAACTTCTTTACCGTCCTTTTCACCGATCAAGGTATCGCTGCGAGATCGCATCACTCCTTCGTTTTCAATAATATCATGAAGGTCAAACTCAATTCGTCCAACCATATCATCCTTTCCGATTCGATCGCTATCCCAGAGTTGAACTGACAATTTCTCGCCAGAACTGACTTGTTGGTTGTGAAGGAGGATACATGTATCTTCCTCCCAAGACGGATTACGATCTTTAAGAATGACGCGGGTACAGTAGACTGGTTTTCCGAATTGGCTGAAGGCAAGTGTGACATATGTATCCGATCCGCCCCCACTATCCATAGCTGGGATACCGGTTGCATCATGAATCTTGACGTAGATGACGCCGATAGATTCCGTTTCCTGCTGGACGGCGGTACCTTCGATCATCTTGCCTACATCCAAGCTCAATGACTTAGGTGCCACATACTCGTCGAGGGCAGCACCGACGGCATAGTTGACGAAGTTGCTGATCAATGGAAGGTTCAAAACGTTGAT